GCAATAGCCTTGAATAAAGCCTTCCTTACTGTTTTAAGTGTCAGAATAATTTTTTCTTTATGTATCTATATATTCGCTTTATATAATATACATATATGACATATATCATACATATAAACCATACTCAAGAGCAAACAAGATTAGCAAATATTAAATCTAACTCTTTTGTTTTACAAACAATAAAAAGAGACAAAGCTAAGTGAGTTATTTAAAGTCAAAAATATTTTCCTCTGGCTGTAATGTAAGCCAGTTCCTCTTTGTGCTATCCTGAATCAAAGCAGAAAAGCCCCTAACTTTCACAGATTCACGTGCTATACTTTAAAACCATGAATGTTCAGGTCATCCTGTTCTCTCTGTTTAATAGGTGAGAGAAAAAACAACCATTTATCAAACGTATGAAGCTCAAACTATACAGTTAGGGCGAATTTCCAAAGGAGGTTTATATATCTTCAATATATAAAATAGTGTCCTAAAGCCAGAATTCTTCCATTAAAAAAATTCTCTCTGCTCCTTCCCCTTTGATTGTATTGTTCTTTAGTGGAACTTGCCCAAAAAAAGGCCTGAAGAGTAAACACATGGCAAGCAATTGTGATCACTTGTCCCTTGCCCTGGCCAAAAGCTTATTAGATTATATTGATTTACCAGCTCTTTCCTTGCAGAAATAGCCTAATTAAATGCTTAGTACTGCCTTTGAAGTTGAGTTCAGCTCAACAGTTATTTTGAGTTCTAATTTTAGAAGCTCTCCCTCCTATGATTATAATTTTGGTAATGAGAATTAAATGTTGATGCCTTAAATTGGCATTCTTTCTATTCTTTAACATATTATTTCCTGGAGCCAAAATGCTGTTGGAAGTCCAAGTTTAAATTGGACCCAATCACAGAGTATTTTTACCTTCAGCAGAAAGATTATTCTCTTGTTTACTGGGGAGTGTATATATAATTCTAGCTTTTCTTCTTTCTTTAAAAAGTTATTTGTGGAAAATTTCAAAGTTATTCTGGTTTAAACTGTGGAGTGGATGCATTCTGCATTCAGGATACTATCTCCTTTTTTTGGAAATGGAGCCATAGGATTCTTTTTTCAATGGTCCTTTTGCCTTTATAAGAGAAAAAGACAATTTTAAAGGCTTTTTTTTTTTTGGTAAAGCCACATGATCTAACTCTTGGGGATAACTTCAGCAGTTTAAAAGGCAGGCTCTTATAATGGCTATAGGAAGAAGTAGGATACATGGATTTGGAGTAACTGTGACTTTTTCTCTTCTTTTCCTTCCTCTTCGAGAATAACTAGACTCATTCTTACGGTAGTAAAGGGTTGGCAAATCTAAATGACACAACCTGTCTTTAATCTAAGATAGTCTAAACTTTCATTTTCTAGCAATAGGTGACCCCAGAGCAGCTACGTAAAAATTATTTTAAAAGTAGACTAAATATCTCAAGTACCTACCTTCTGTGGTAAAAAAAAAAAAGTATTTGGGCCAGGTGTGGTGGCTCACGCCTGTAATCCCAGCACTTTGGGAGGCCAAGGCAGGCAGATCATGACGTCAGGAGATCGAGACCACCCTGGCCAACTTGGTGAAACTCCATCTCCACTAAAAATACAAAAATTAGTCGGGCATGGTGGTGCCTGCCTCTAATCCCAGCTACTCAGGAGGCTGAGGCAGGAGAATCACTTGAACCAGGGAGTCAGAGGTTGCAGTGAGCCGAGATCGTGCCACTGCACTCCAGCCTGGTGACAGAGGAAGACTCCATCTCAAGAAAAAAAAAAAAAAAAAAGATTTAAGAGCCTTTTGTTTTTATGAGTCTTTATGATTGCTCTTTGCTTTAAATTATCTACTTAAGAGGTCTTTGATGGTAATATTTGTTACATACCTACTTTCTTTCCCAATGACAAGTTGATTATTATTATTTTTAACCTACTAGGAGATAATTTTGAGCAATGTAACTGGACTTGTACAACTGACAAGCAACAAAAAAGTTTTGTTTCATTGTTTTTCTTTTTTTGGTTTCTGTGAAATCAAGGGCATCATCAACACCCCAGGGCATTTGAAAACAAATTTCCTTTTTTGAGGCTTTGATGGTTTTCAAATAGGGTGTGAATTTACCATGCTCCATTGCGCTGAAGGAGACCCCTGTTTGATGGTCTTGCCAGGCATTTACACATTGTATAATGCTGCCTCCACTTTCAGTTCAAAGCAAGCATTGTCTCCTGGGTTTTCACTTAGCTTATATTGCTGCTTCTCATTTATTTTGAGATAACAGTTCACTTCAAACTAGATAATCTTCTGATCAGGAAAAAGAAAAGCTAGTTCCTTTCCTTCATAAAACCACCTTTTCTTTGAAGACACAGTTCAGTAAATCCAATAAATTTTGAGACAGCATGACTTTTCATTGGTTGGGTACTATGATAACAAATGAAAATAAGTCCTTTAAAGATGCTTTTGATATAAGACTTCTTCTTTGTTTTTTCTACTCAGTTTAGAAAAGCCATTCTATATGTATAATAATTTGATAATATTGGCCCCAATGAATTTTAGCTTTGTCGGTGGAATTTTGACTTTTGAACTGTTTATGTGAAACAAAAGAAGAGAAAGCAAAACAAACAACACACTAATGTTGTTGATTTTTTGTTGAAATTCTAAAGGGACTTCAAACGTGAATTCAAAATGCTGTTTATTAAGCAGCAAAAAACAGAGAAATCCATTGTAGAAGTCTCAAAACATAGCAAGATTGACTTTAAAAGTACAACTCAAAATCATGTTTTAGAAGATGTTTCAGCTAATGGTGGCTAGCAAAAGATCTCTGCTGCCAGTGGTTTTGGAATCTCAGAGCTATTACTTTCTGTGAACGAACGATTTCTTTTTTCTAAGGTTAGTAAATAAAGTCAACTAAAAACAATTTCAGGTACGACTGGGGAAACAGAAACAAAACCAAAATCAGTTGTTTGCTTTCTACGTTGAAGCCTCAAAGGGAGATCATTAAAAAAATTGTTTTGAAATTTACAACTTATGGATTGTTCCTGAAGTTTTCCGAAAATGTAAATGTCTTAGTATATATTTACAATACATAGGTAAAATTTTATCAAATAATTTTGGAATCCATTGCAAGTGCTCAAACATGCCTGGTAAGTGATCTAACTACACAAACTAGAAATATTAAATCCTAAGTTTAAGTTTATACAAAACTTTTGTGAATTTCTGCCTGATACAAATACTAGCCAATATTCAGTTGGAGTTTCAGTTTGGAAAATAATTCTTCATTCATCACATTATATGATTCTTCTAAGAGTCCTACAAATACATAGGGCAGGTTATATAATCTCCATTGTGAAGAGAGGGTTAATAATAGCTATGATTTATTGAAGGTTAACTTCAATAAATGGCTAATAGCTTCAATAATAGCTATGATTTATTTAACCATTTTGGATATATTAACTCATTTACTCCTTTCTACAACCTTATGAAGTAGATATTATTGTTATGCCATTTTGTAAATGAAGAAATAAAGACAGAGAGAGATTAAGCATCTACCCAAGGCTGTATAGCTAGAAGTGATGAAGCTGAGATTTAAGTTGAGGAACGATTACTGTCCCATTTTGCAGATGAGAAACCTGAGGTTTAAAGAGGCCGAGGTCACTAAGCTTATCAAGGTCAAAGTCCTTGTAAAGGGACTGGGTGTGGTGGCTCATGCTTGTAATCCTAGCACTTTGGGATCCAGAGGTGTGCAGATCATTTGAGCCCAGGAGTTTGAGACTAGCCTGGTCTCAAGATGGTGAAACTGTCTCTGCTAAAAATACAAAAATTGGTCGGACATGGTGATGTACACCCGAAGTCCCTGCTACTCGGGGGACTGATGTAGGACGATGGCTTAAGCCCAGGAGGTTGAAGCTGCAGTAAGGTTGATTGTGCCACTTCACTCCAGCCTGGGCAACAGAAAGAAACCATGTCTCAAAAAAACAAAACAAAAACAGAAACAAAAAAACCCAAAATCAAAACAAAACAAAAAAAGCTGACAGAGAACAATGCAGAAAAAAAAAAAAAAGATCTGTCAATCTGTCTGCCTCTAAAATCTTACTTTTAAGCTTTTAAACATTTTATTATGATATTTAAACCCTGGCTTCTCAATTATTGATTTTATGCCAAGATATTTAAGTTAATGTGTTGCTCAATTATGGCCACAGTATACAAAAGATACATTGACATTTTTCTCCCACTGTGTAATTTTTAGTGTCTGTTTCTATTTTGATAGATAAATGTGACATTTTTCTCCCACTGTGTAATTTTTAGTGTCTGTTTCTATTTTGATAGATAAATGGCCTTTACTTGGGATATTGGAAAAAGTTTGGGGGAGTATAAGATACAAAATATATAGCAATGTACTAGACCACACTGAGTAAACATTTTTAAAATACATTTTAATATTTTAAAGTAGATGCATGTGAACAGATCTATCATAGCAGATAGGTATGGCACTATACAGGGTGGGTGGGTACTACCAGAAGGAGGGTGCCCAGCCCTAGGTACTTTCAGAAAAGTTCCTCAGCTGAACCTGATATGTTTCTAACCCATATGAAAGCTTCAAGAGGCCCCTCTCCACAACCTTACAAGCTGTCTTGCCTCCTGGAGACTTCTCATGTTGTAGATATTACCTGAATGTTACAAAGTTCAATGCTAGAACTGTTTTCCTCCCTCTGGGTAAGAGGGCACCTGATCATTAATTTGGGGGAAGCATTATCATGCTGTCTGTGGTCAACTAATATCTGTAATTTTTTTTCTTACTGAGACCAAGATTAAAATAAATCATCCCCTTTGCGCTGGTCTATATTACATGTATCTAATTTGGGTTCATTACTCCTGTGTGTTGAGCTCTTTGTTAAAACGGATTTAGCAATGTAACATATTAGTTAACTATTCTTTTCAGATTTGTGTCATATAAAAATTTGAAAAGTAGAGTCATCCTGAAGCAGAGGCCAGAAGCAGAGACAACGGCAGGAGCATGAGAATGCCATGCCTTTCTTGGACGCGCAGAAAAGGTTTGGCCTTAACATAGATCAATGGTTGACAATCCAAAGTGCTGAACAGCCCCATGAGATTCCTGCTGTTGAAAAAGAATGGATAGAATGTGCACATGGAGTTGGTGGTATCCAGGCAGAGAAAGAGTGCAAGAGAGAATATGATGATTTCATAGTGTCTACTTCGGCAGAAAATGATGAGATGTGTGAGTACCATCAGGAAGCAGCAGGATAAGCTGATAAAGGAAGGGAAGTGTGACACCCCTCCACCTCACCACGTGGGCAAGCCGGAGCCTCGGCCCTGAGCACAGCGGCTGCTGATGTCTGGAAGCTGATTTTCATGTTCTCTGTTCTCCACTGGAAAGGCTGTTTACGGAAAACCACCTTGTCAAATTGTGTAAAAATAAAAGATTGCTCCATCCTAAAAAAAAAAAAAAAAAAAAAAAAAAAAAAAAAAAAAAAAAAAAAAAAAAAAAAAAAAATTGAAAAGTATATCTTAACAAAGTTGATGGTTTAAAAAAATGATGACTCAAAGAGGGCCAAATGTGAACTTTTTTGTACAAGAGACTTCTCTTTGTGAGAACAGGACACAAGTTTCAAATCACACGAGGGTTCAAGTCCTGGCCCTGTTACTGTGGCTATAAACTAGTTATTTTATATATATATATATATATATATATATATATATATATATATATATACTTTTTTTTTTTTGAGATGAAGTCTTGCTCTGTTGTCCAGGCTGGAATGCAGTGGTGCAATCTCGGCTCACTGCAACCTCTGCCTTCTAGGTTCAAGCGATTCTGCCACCTCAGGCTCCCAAGAAACTGGGAGTACAGGCGTGTGCCACCATGCCTGGCTAATTTTTTGTGTTTTCAGTAGAGACGGGGTTTCACCATGTTGGTCAGGCTGGTCTCAAACTCCTGACCTCAAGTGATCTGCCTGCCTTGGCTTCCCGAAGTGCTGGGAGTACAGGTGTGAGCCATAGCACCCAGCTGTTATAAAATTTTTTTAAGCTTGATTTTCTTCACTACAAAATTGGGATACCAATCTCAAAGGATTGTTGAACATACTGAGATTTTATATACATATATACACTAACACACACGTATACAACATAGATAACATTTCCTCCAGAATAGTACCTGAAATGGTAAATATTCAATGAATAGTATCTATTATTAATAACTAACAATTATTAGCTAATACTTATTAAAGGTTAATAATCATTTAATATGTTATTATCTTTGAGGATATTGTGAGAGAGTTTGATCTTTCTATGCCAGAATGTTACCTCATCAAAAAAATGAGATCAAAGGCTTAGCTTACTTTGTGACCATTGATGATTGGTCACCATTTATCTCTTGTTCTTAAGTTAATATAATATACACTTTTAATCTACTAGTATTTCTCAGTTTGTAAAATCTTTGACTCCGTTTTTGTGTTTCTTTACTTCTTATCTATTATTATTATTATTTTTTTTTGGAGATGGGGTCTCACTATGTTGCCCAGGCTGGGGCACAGCAGCTGTTCACAGGCATGATCCCACTACTAATCAGCAGGGGAGTTTTGACCTGCTCGGTTTCTGATCTGGGCCTGTTCACCACTCCTTAGGCAAACTGGTGGTCCCCTGCTCCTAGGTGGTCACCACACGGATGCCGAACTTAGTGTGGACACCCAATTGGCTTACTGCACTAGAGTGCTGGTGCACTAGAGTCTTAGCGTGCTAAACTCCTGGACTCAAGCAATCCTTCTGGTTCAGCCTCTTCAATAGCTGGAACTACAGGCATGCATCACTGCACCCTACAACTTTTCGTTCTGTACATGATGAAATAGGGTAAAACCTTGCTTTTCTTAAACCTAGTATTAAGTATATCCCAAGCACCATCTGCCATTGCTGAGAAACCAGAACTAAATAAACAGCTGAGGAGATAAGCTTTTTTTTTTTTTTTTTTTCTGAGACAGAGTTTCACTCTCGTTACCCAGGCTGGAATGCAATGGCATGATCTCCGCTCACCGCAACCTCCACCTCCTGGGTTCAAGCAATTCTCCTGCCTCAGCCTCCCCAGTAGCGGGGACTACAGGCAGGCGCCACCATGCCCAGCTAATTTTTGAATTTTTTGTAGAAACGGGGTTTCACCTTGTTGACCAGGATGGTCTCGATCTCTTGACCTCGTGATCCACCCCCCTCGGCCTCCCAAAGTGCTGGGATTATAGGCGTGAGCCACCGTGCCCAGCAGAGATGAGCTTTCATTTCTAGCTTTACTTGTGAAAGGTTGATCTGGCTTTAGTTATCTTTGGCAGTCAGTTTGAAAAAGTTCTTAAAAAGTTTGTTTTCCAAGTAAGTCAAATGAAATCAGCTGGAGAGTTTTGACTATTGCTAAGAAGTCAAAAAGGAAAAACTGAAAGAGATTTTGTTGAGGGCAAGAAAGCAAATTATAAGAATATGATTGGTGTTTTTAATTCAGTAACTAATTTTGTACAATGCTATGTTTTGTTGTGGATGAGAGGTTAAAGTGACATTAAAGATTTATCTCAGGTTATATAAGATTTCATTGCTTTTGGGTAGTGAGTTGACATACTGAAGGGTGTTCATTTAATCTGCAGAGAAAGTTTAAATGGGATTCTGAGTGTGCCAAGAAATAACTGTTCAGGTTTAGTTTATAAGCAGGATTTCTTAGCCAACATTTTTATTTCCCTCTTTATAGTTTCTAAAATAACATTAGCTGTAACATGCTTAACAATCTCAAGAAAATATATCCTAGTTTGTTGTACGCACTCTCTGTAACGTTTTACCATCACTTTGGATTTCAGGAATATGGTTCAGTAGTTTTAAAACTCAATGCCGTGACATAGAAAACCACTGGCATTATTAACTTTCAAATCAATGAGGAGAGTAGAAGAATGTTTTAACAGAAGAGCTAATGGCTGTTTTCTTTAACGTATGGTTGGAATAATTAAATAGCATGGCCTTTTCATCCAACACTAAAAGTAAAATGGAGAGTCTGACGTTTTATATCTGAATTCTGTAGAGGATATCGTTGGCACATGTGTAATAGGTTTCCGTTTTATTCTTTTCTTAAATAGATATGCTTCATAGTGGCACCATATGATTCTTATTATTTAACATTTGTTTAGTAGTAGCAATAGATTTGGCTCTGCATTGAATATCAGAGAGTAGGAATAATCCCTTCCCAGTGGGCATAGTATAAAAATCAGGCAAACCAAACCTCAATATTAAAAGATAATTAATTATCCATGATATGAAGCAGAGGCAGAACACGACACAGGTGCGCTGCTCTTTCAGGAGGCATCTTAAACAAAAATGGAGGCGAGAGTGTCCATATCCTCATGCTGTTGTCTGGAATGCTGGTAAAACAACCCCCTAAAGCTGACTTAAAAGGCACAGCCGAATTGAGCACAAAGAGAAACCAACGAGCTTGTGGATGTTACTGTGCCTTCAGTGTCGCTTTAACTCAATAATATGATGATTTAAAAGCAGAGGTGATTTTCCTAACATTGCAACAGTTTCGACCACCCAGCTATTTTGCTCTTTTGTGATTTTGAATGAATTATTGATAAGGAATACTTCAAAGGTGGGCAAAAAAATTTTATTTTGCATTTAGCGTTTATAAAACAATGATGTTGATGGAGGGAAAAAGAAAACCACTGTCAATATTTCTCTGAGACTAAACAATAACAAAGTGCCTTCAGGATTCATTTTAATGAGAAATACCAGTGTGGCTCTGTGGAAATCTCGGGACAGGCAGTGCACACTAGCAAATTAATTATAGGTTGGCAGCCAGGCAAATGCAGGAGGTTTATGGTGGCACTGTAGAAAATAAATATTGTTTTAATCAGCAATACTGGCTCATTTCCTCAAAGGTAACATCAACCTTTAAATGTACAAGTCACATATATTTAGAAAATGATTTCAAAACAAGGGGTGCATGGCTTTTCTATTATTTTCAGGTTAGTGTTTGCACAAGGTTTCCTCAAAATAAGGCACAACTGATCCCTTAGTCTTGGCCACGGTCAGAGAACAGGGTTATCATTACCGACAGCATTTTATCTAAGCCTGACTCTGATCTGTGCTGGAGGAGACATTGACTTTCATGATGGTTTTATGGATCGATGATTCAGGTGGTTCTCCAGATAGCTCTGCTGGATTCCTGGGCCCTGTTTGCAAGTCAAAGCTGCGTCTCCTCCCCTAGGTGGAATTTCTCAGTTCAAGGATTCACTTCTTAGCTGCCTCCAGCTCCTGCAGTTGGCAGCTGACGGGGCAGCGCTGTTAATGCAACCAGAGTGTTTAAAGCGGCAGGTGATAAGAGACGCTGGGACTTTAACAGAATAATGAATTAATTCGCAAACTCACTGAGCACAAATGATAACTTTGGTACAATTTCCAGTTGCAATTAGGAGGGGACTGCATTGTTTTACAGGATAAAGGTATTAGTCCTGATTCTTGTAATGTAATGTGTAGCATACCGGTATCTTTGAGGAAAAGCTAATTTCTGGATGTGTGAATTTGCCCGTGACCAACTCCTGAAATGGATGCAAATTAAAATGAGTGATTTCTGTGATAGTGAATGTGCTGTAGCGTAGCCTCTATACCCAGATTCCTAAGAGGGGGCTGGCAGAGTCTCAGGATTTCATTTTGTCTGAATGCTTATCCAAAAGCAACATAACCAGACCCTGTTCAAATGTACCCAAACTTCTATTATATTTTGAGTTCATCCAGCCTGAGCAGGCAATCTTCATTTTGTGCTTCAACCTGTAACTATTTCAGTGGCTGCCTTCACAATCAACAAATTTGAGATGACTTCTAATTTCTGGGTCCATTGTGGAAGGGGAATCATTCATATCTTCACCCATTATTTCTGGCATTCCCACAAAAATGTTTCTAGCAGAAGAAATACATTTTTAAATACCAAAGACGAGTTTTAGAAAAACAAATTCTACTTTTATCAGGGTTTGATTGGCATTATCAACCGTAGTTTCAAAAAGAAAATTGAGTTTGGGTTAATGAAAGTGTATGCTAATGTCATTTTAAGAATTATTTGCCACTATTTTTCTCTTCAGAGTGTTAAACTACTAAAAGTAATCAATATAATCTATTGTTAACTGTAGAATGCTCAGGTATACACAGCTAATTAAAAAATACCATTTGATGATAATAATGGTGATAGACATAATGATAAAATACTTGTTCTTTCAGATGACTGACTTATACTAAAATGATATATTCATTCAATACAATGAATATTCAATGCGATTTAATAAATATTCATTGGACACCTGTGTTAGGTCCTAGGGATATTAAGATGAGAAAGATTCAGTATTTAGGGAGATTTTATTGTTGCAAATATTCCCTCCTTTTCCTATAAGAGGATTATACTTCCTGCCTGTGGCCATGTACTTTGCAGTGTGACCTGAGGGAAGGGAATATGTATACTTGTCTATTCTTGGCCATGTGACTAATTTTAGCC